GGAAATAAAATGTAAGACCACTATTTACATATTGATGAAATAAAAAATAAAAAAAGTTATTCCTAGTATCTTGTATACCACCCCTTTGCTGCAATAACTGCTTGAACTCTGTCTGGCATTGACCTCCACAACTGCTCAAAAAACTCAGAAGGTATTATATTCCATACCATGGGTAATACCTCAGCTAGCTTCTGCTTGACCTTCTCAGGACTACCAGGTGTTGAAGGAATGTCAGGATACTGAATCTGAAGCCTTTTCTTCAGCTCAACCCAGACATGTTCTATGGGATTATAGTCTGGTGAACAAGGAGGGTGTTCAGCCAACTCGATCCCATTTTGGTCAAACCAATCTTGCACTCTCTGAGCTGTATGAACAGTACAGTTGTCTTGCTGGAAGATAGGATCACCAAGGGTGTCACGGTGTCACAAACTGTGACTAAGCAAGGCAGATTTCACATAGCCCGGAATTCCGAGCTATAGGTATGTGGGAATTTTACATGACGCACGCTAGTGCGCCATAGGTTATTATGTTTATCTGTTCATGACTCACACTTGTGAGTCACACGATGTTATGATTATCGCACATGACTCATACTTATGAATCATGGGTTTCACTCAGGTGATACGAGTTGCGTACCTGACTGGGTTATTATGTTTTGATTGGTTTTAGGTATGTTGCGCAGCGACTCATAGGAGTCGGCTAATGGATTTTGCGTGACTCATAGTTATGAGTCACAAGGTTCGTGTGACACATAAGTATGAGTCACGCCAGGTGAAGAGCTACTATATAAAGGGTCACTAGGACCCCTAGTATTAGCTCTTTACACGTTCTTCGTGTTTATTTCCTACCTTCAAGTTTATCAATAAAACCTACCTTTACGCTCTTTAAGATTTATCTTAAGAAACCCAAGAATTGTCTTTCCTACCAAGCGAGAAAACTATTTCTTGTCCGACGACCTACGAATAAGTCCTAAGCAAGGGCTTATAAAGAATAGAGGAACAGGCGCGGTCAGATAGAAGTTGTTAGGGGGTAGGTAACTCTGAAGTCAGGCGAGTATACACTAGGCCCTGTAATCTTCTGTCTCGGAGATAGTCAAGAAGGCTCGTAAAGATAGAAGTAGAACGAATATATTGATAAGCTCTCTTCTCCGGTCGCTGATTATAGACTAAAAGCTCGGGATTTTTTTTTTTTTTTGTTTGACTCATTAATTATTTGTTTGGGGTACAAAAAACGTATGGAGCGCTAGCTATGATGACAAAAAACCCATATCCCTCCTCTCGCCACGGGAAAAAGCCAACCCCCCAAGCCCCTCTGGTATGGAGCCAACTGCACATCTCGCCTCAAAGAAAAGAAACCCAAGCCCGGCTAGATGGACGAACAAGGAAATCCTAACTAAGAAGAAAGCAGGAAGGGCCAGGAAAACCCGCTGAGAAATCCTAAAAAGAAAAAAGAAAGGTTAGTAGCAAGTCACGTAGGCCCCGAGGGGCAAATCCACTCACTCAAGCGGGAAGCGACGCCCGAAGCGCGCTAAGATAGGGGGCCCCCCCCAGACCCACTCCAAGGAGACAGTGCAATACCATGGAGGGAAGGAGGAGGCCAGCCGGCCGTGGGCGATAACCGGGGGGTGGGGAAGGTGTAGCAGTAGGGTGCCAGCCGATCCGACCGTAGAGAGAGGAGAGCGGAGGGGTAGACCCAAAGACCTTAACAACGTCTATCGGAATCGCGTTCGTGTCTGACTAGGCAGC